CATTCCTTCTCCTTCCCCCCTCCCATTTCATTCCTTCTCCTTCCTCCCTCCCATTTCATTCCTTCTCCTTCCCCTCTCCCCCATTTCATTCCTAACCCCCACTCCCTCGAATTTCATTCCTCCTACCCCCCGACACTGGCGGCGGGGCGGGCAGGCAGGCATACTGATGCCGGAGCCGGAAGATGACGTCATCTTCCGGCTCCGGCATCAGTACGGTGCGCGAGGGAGCTGAAGAGGAAGCACACAGAGAGTGCTCCCTCGCGCGCCCGCCGGGTGTCAGCAAGGCCAGCCTCTGGGGGGCCCTGAGGTGACCGGCTGCTGGGCCCCCCAGGAGAAGAGGCTGGCCCTGTGGGTACATACCGGGTCGCAGGGCCCCCTGCGACCCGGTATGTACCCACTGAATGTGGGGCCCGGACGACCTGAGCAGTCCGGGCCCCCCAGGACCGCCGGGCCCATGACAACCGTTGCGGTTGTCATGCCCTGATGGCGGCCCTGAGTGGAGACCACGACAGGGCTCTTAGAAAAGGCATTACATGGTTTAAATATGCCTCTCAGTGCTGTGATTGGTAAGTACATGGCCTTTGACCCCAAAACGTGCGTTGATAACGTGATGTCACACGCACGCTGGCGCCATCTTTAATGTGGGCAGTGCGCCCTTTAACAGTAAGAACGTGACCGCAGCGGCCGTCGTCCCTTAGAACGCAGCACCAGCCAGGACCCGTCTTCTGGGATGATCAAGAGGCACTCCTCCGCAATCCAGGTAAGTAAAGTTTTCCCTTATCGGCCATGCTGATCAGGGACTTACTTTTATCTGAAGTATTGGCGCGGCCGCACTGATCAGCCGCGACCCCGTCGATAAAGACCCCCCTGCATCGTGACACTTCCAGCCCGCTGCATAGTGCCACCGCGTGGGAGCGCGTTACCAACAGAAGGCATAGGCTGAGAAACACACGAGACTTTGCTTGATCTCCCCTAAACTAGCTTGCTTATGGAGAAATGCAGCATGAATATATATCCCACCTGTTTGGTTTCATGTGTATTGCATACTCCTTGCGTTCTAAGTTTTTTGCTTTTATGAGCATATATTATTTTACAGTTTTTCTGTGTAGTGCTCCGGAATCCTCCATCTCTGTCTCTCAGGGCCCTCTGTGGTGGAACCATTGTTAAAGGACCACTATAGTGCCAGGAAAACATACTCGTTTTCCTGGCACTATAGTGCCCTGAGGGTGCCCCCACCCTCAGGGTCCCACTCCCACCAGGCTGGATGGCGAGGAAAGGGTTAAATCTTACCTTTTTTTCCAGCGCCGGGCGGGGAGCTCTCCTCCTCCTCTCTGCCTCCTCTCCTCCTCTTCGGCTGAATGCGCATGCGCAGCAGGATCTGCGCGCGCATTCAGCCAGTCTCATAGGAAAGCATTCATAATGCTTTCCTATGGACGCTGGCGTCTTCTCACTGTGATTTTCACAGTGAGAAGCGCGCAAACGCCTCTAGCGGCTGTCAATGAGACAGCCACTAGAGGCTTTAGAGGCTGGATTAACCCATTTATAAACATAGCAGTTTCTCTGAAACTGCTATGTTTATTAAAAAAAAAAAAAGGGTTAATCCTAGAGGGACCTGGCACCCAGACCACTTCATTAAGCTGAAGTGGTCTGGGTGCCTAGAGCGGTCCTTTAATAACTAAGCACGTTATCTCCTGTTTATTTCTATACCTCCTTGCTATACCACACTGCCTTGATTAACCATACTGTAAGTTGCATGCTCACATGTTTTTAATGCTTTTCTCTGTCTGCAGTACTACAGTACTCTGCCTACCATTAATAATGCTCTGTCAACAACCTTTTCAAGCATAGATATATATGAGCTAACGCATACTTATCAAGCAGTCTATGTAAAGTAACCTAATGTTCCTAGCCTGCTTCCTACCCTTTTGACGCTCAGTTACTTTACCACTACTCCTCTAACGACTATATTATCCACCACGTCTTGCATGTCTAGATTGTCTTTAACTTCTGTGTCCTACAACTTGACGTGCACGCAGAAACTGTCTCTTACTACACCTTAAAGGTGTGCCTGTACTCTAATGCGATATATGTAAATACTGTGATATTATTGCGCTTAAATATGCTGTTGTGGCATTGTAAGATGTTTTGTTACCTTGTGCACAACAAAAAATAAAGAATTAAAAAAAATTAAAAAAGAAAAGCTTTATGTCGGAAAATAAAAATGATGTGCAGCAGAATGTAAAGCGTAAATAGGAAAATAAAACATACAAAATGCTTAAGCAAAGATTGAAAACGAAAGACCATATTTAAATGGTGAGTGTCATTAAAAAAAAGAAAATTGTGATTTAAAGGGACACTTCAGGAACCATAACAACTTCATAAAGCTATAGCTGTTCTGGTCCCAGGAGGTCCCTGGCGCTGGCTCACCATAAGAGATTTAACCGTTTTCGAATGGTTTAGCCCCAAAGTCTGTGTTCCAGCGCTGAATCTCCCTTTCTCTCTGTCCTTGTATTTTCTCAAAATCAGGAAACTGGAAGGCTCTTGCAGAATCGGGCAATGGGCAGCCAGTTTTATGAATGGGGAGTCACTGGTTGGCTGGGAGCATCAACTAACCGCTCGGTAGTCTGAGATGCCACTGCCCGATTCTGCAAAAGCCTTCTAGTTTCCCGATTTTGAAAAAACTTAATGACAGAGAGGCAGGGATATCCAGACTTTGGGGTTAAGCGGTTTACATTGAATAGCCTGCAGGGACATTCAGTAGACACCAGAACCACTACATAAAGCTGTAGCGTTTCCATAGTGTCCCTTCAACATCTGATTGAAAGTGAAACCATTTTGTTTTCATGCAGGCTGTGTCAGTCACAGTCAGGGGAGGGGTAGGGATGCACAGACAAAAACAAAAGTGATTTAACTCCTAAATGGCAGAGAATTGACTAGTGCGACTAAAGGGGCATGATCTATACACCAAAACTGCTTCATTAAGCTAAAGTTGTTTTGATGCGTATAGTGTCCCTTTAAGGTATAAAAAAAATTCATGTGTATGGTTAATGAAACATGTTTCTATGCTAGATCCACGTTTTGATCATATAGCAGGACTGAACACTAGAACATTAGCTGAGAACAATTTTGTTGCACAGAATTTGGTGAAGCATGCAAGATTCTCCTGTATTGTGAATTGTATTGGTTAGTACATACAGCAGACAGCTCATTTGTCTGTAGTCTTGATTTTAGTACTCTTCCTTTTACATTCATTTAAGAGTCAATTGTTTTATCTGTGTTTTTATTGACTGTTTTCTTTAAACAGAGAAATCCGAAATGTAATGAATCTAAACTATATAGATCCTGATGCCTTTCAAGACCTTCCGTTACTGAAATACCTGTGAGTATAACAGCAAAATATGCATTAAAAATATGACTGGCTATCTAACTCCATATATTTAGTTCCACTCCAACCAAGCAAGATTTCAGTGAGCCGTAATGTGTGGCAAGGTGAACAGTTAAAGGGACTGAACAGTTAAACACTATAGTCACCAGAACAACGACAGCTCTGGTGGGTATAATCATTCCCGTCTGGCTATTGCCAGAAGGGAATGATTCTGGCAAAAAGCCACTCTTTAGATGGCTCCTAGAGGTGCTTCCTGGGGCAGTGCTCCTCAGACCTGACCCTATAGTGTTCCTTTAAAGTAGAGCTACCGTCCTCAAAATGTGTGTGTAAAAAAGTCATCTTGTTGGTAGTTTTTAGATTTAATTTATACATTATGATACAAATAGTCATGTCTAAAGTACAGGATATATTTATATATTACTTCATTTGCCTCCAAGATGGGAAACAGAATGGACAAGTTTAAGGAACACTATAGTGTCTGGAACACAAACATGTATTCCTGACTCTAGAGTGTCCCAGACCACTTCTGCCCATTGGAGTGGTCTGGGTGCCAAGACCATCACCCTTTTTATAAACTGCAATAATTACCCTGCAGGGTTAAGTCCTCCTCTAGTGGTTGTCCATCAGACAGCCACTAGAGGGACTTTCGGGTTCTTAAAACACGAAAAGTGTTTTAAACGACGCTTCGCATCATGCATGAGGACCTCCAGCGTCGCCAGAATCCCCATAGAAAAACATTGTATAATGCTTTACTATGGGGAGGTCTAATGCGCGCACGCCGCCATTGCCACGCATGCGCATTAGGCCTCCCCTGCCAGCTGACATCGGCAGGGGGAAGCGTGGGCGGAGCCTGACCCAGTGCCAAGGGACATCAGCGCTGGATTCAGGTAAGTCACTGAAGAGATGCGTTGAATTAATGCATTTCTATGGGAAGGTTCAGCTCCTTCATGCAGAGCGTGGAGATGCTGAATGCCAGTGCGGCACACAGTGCAAAATTGACACAGAAAGCATTCTAGTGATCGTCTGAGTGACTGCCACTAGAGGTGTTACTAGGCAGTAATGTGAACACTGCCTTTTTTTCTGCAGGGACATGTTATAGACGCCAGAACCACTACATCAAGCTGTAGTTGTTCTGGTGACTATAATGTACCTTTAACAAAACCCCAGAAAAACTATTTGTTCCGTAGGAAAGTATATGTTTTATAGACATAATGCCAAATAGAATGAACTGAACAATGTGATAACTGGTACATTTTCTAACGAGACTGACTTACTGCTTGCATTGGCAATAGGATAATAGGATAGCCATGCTAGTTGTTTATTTTATAAATACAGAAATCGACAAAGGCATATGTGTTGCAACCAGTAACGTTTAAATTAACATCTCAAACAATTCCAATAATTGAAAAATAGAAAGTACGGGCTACAGGCTGCATTTAGTACTTAGTACCTGGACGTTTGTACAAAGAGTGCTTTGTATTAGCTATAGTGATATCACTTTGTAATATTTATGACTGTTCCATCTGACAGGAAATCCTTCTCTTATTCTCATTCCTTCAGAGGGATTTTAAACACCGGACTCGCCATTTTTCCAGATTTAACCAAGATTCACTCTGCTGATATGAATGTATTTGTGTGAGTAATATAAGCTTTTATGAATGGAAGCGGAAAGCAAGTCAATGTATAAAACATCACTGGATTTATCAAACACCGCTAGTGAGTTTTGGCAGCTCAAAGAGTGTGACTTGTACCAATGGTAGAAAAATTGTAGTAGGAAGTGTTTCAAATTAACCCATGGGTGTTTATTTATTGAACGGGGGATTGTAGAGACAAAGAAATAGCAAATTGTATACAAAAAAAAAAATTATAGAATTTTTATAGAACAATTCCTAATATATACAGGATCGTCAAATAAATGCATCTACAAAAAATATCTGAAATATACATTTTTAATACATACAAAATAAACTGGAATATATATATTGAAATAAAAAGTGATTTTTTTTTTCTCGTGTATGACCCTATACAGACATCTTTATGCAACAAACAATTGCAGAGGACACGATAGGATTATGCTTTGTGTTGATTTATCACAAATATGTGCTGCATGTTTTAGGATTAAGTAAACATGAAGTTCATTTACTAAATGGTAAACAGTTGACAATCTACTTCAACAATTTGGCTATTTGGCCTACATTTAGCAAGTTGGATGCCAACTCAGTAATGCGTGATGTTTAGTGAGTAAATCCTATGTTTAATTCGCTGTCACCAGCTCACAGCTGAATGTCATTCTCTATTTGCAGGGAAATTGCCGATAACCCTTACATTAGTACAGTGCCGGCTAATGCGTTTCTTGGACTGGGCCAAGGCTTCCTCACCCTGTGAGTACAAATGAGGCTCTTCCTGAAATTGCAGTTTAGAACAATTTAACTTGTATTTCCATATATTTCAATAACACACGTCTAGCCCCATCCAAGCCTCTCCATTTCCTGAAGCCATATCTTTTCTAAAGTCACATTCCCTCAATTCAGATTCCTAGCCGTTCTCCAACTGTACCCCTCCCAAAAATTTATTCTGACCATATTTCTCCAACTGATCTCTCGTACTACAAACATAATACCCCTTCGACTCAGCCTCATACCTCCAAAGCATCTTGCCACATTCACATTCTCCAAATAATAACCTTCAAGACTACTTCAATCCCTAAAAAACAAACAAACAGAACCAAACAAAAAAACACTGTTCAGGTTAATTTCAAGGTTGCCTCATGTAACAATTGTGCAAGAAAAGGGAGATGTGATATCCTATTCCCACCCTTCCCTCCATAAGCCTGATTACACCATAAGTACAACAAGGGAACCAGACTATGTAACTGAAATCCGTAGAACGAAGAATTAAAGTTTTATGCGCTGGGGGAGCCTGCTGCAGGTATCAACCATGGAGATGAGCACTTATGGAACCTATACTGTACATCAACAAGTGAGGCAAAATGCCATCTGTGATCCGTCGGCCCCCATAGGGTAGATATAAGTTGTCTCCTATTGTGATGTGTAAATGAAAAACAGTATTTCTCTATGATTTTTTTATTTTTATTTTAAAGCAAACTCTACAACAATGGTTTCACCCAGCTGAAGGGATTCACATTCAATGGAACCAAACTCGATGAAATGTAAGTAACAGAGCCAGTGTGAGAAAAAAAAATACACATTGCAGGTGAATGAGAAAAACTACACAGTGTGCGTGAATGACAGCAATTACATAAAAAAGGTAACCAGAATCAACCAAATAAGTTAGATTAACTATATTTCTTCTATATGAAAATATTAGAAAATGAGAACTCTGAGAATGGACAAATGCTTAGACAAACTCAGTAGCTTTCCATTTGGTAAACCCCGCTCAGGTATCAAAATAGTTTTTGCCCGCTTGTGCCATTCCAGAGAGAACCAGGTCCAAGGCATATCAGACTAATCCCGCCCATAAAGGTAGTATAGAACCGAAATGCCTCCAATTTCTCTCTGCACGTGAGATACAACAACCCCGGACGATCGTTTTGGACTTCTTTGGGCCCCGTCATATCCCTCTAGGCACAGTGAGCACGGAATCCACATCTGGATTACCCTTTTGAATTTGGAGCGAACCAAGTTAATGCATTGCAACAAAAGCTCTGAGAACAAACAAAAGCTTAGAGGAACTCAGTAGTGTGCCCTTCGGTAAACCCCTGCTCGGGTCTCAAATCTCACTTAGCATAATATCTAAGCTATATTCAACTTCTTAATCCATGCATATCTTTGCATTTATACGCCATTCACTAATATTTTTATTATGTTCCACATCGCACTCACCTTTGCATCTCTATTAAATTCCACACCTTATTCACCCTTATGTTTCTACTCTATTTCACAACTCATGCAACCTCAAAAACTCACACATTCCACAACTGTCTCCTCTCCATATTTCTATATATTGCTATATTCCATCCTTTACCTGATCGCATATCTCTTGTATATTCCACAAATCACCCCCCATCATATTTCTGAATTCCAGACCTCATTTACCCTCATTTCTGTACTGCAAGGTCTGGTAGTGGATTAGATTACCAACGTGGTGAGGTAAAGCGTTAATAGAGAGATTATCTATTTGATGGTTTTGGGACAGTTACGGTTTGCCTTCGTGTTTCTCTCACCTCGCCCTGTGAGTATAAGATATCACTTTTCCAACTCGAGTCTGTAGCTAATACCTATGTTAAACCTTCCTGCACGTTGCTCAACTTTAAACAAACAGCTGCTGACTTCACTCTTTGGAAAATTCCCAAGCAAGTGCAGACAACAAGGAGTTACATAGACAGACAACTAGAGATATCAAAATTTACAGCAAATGACACATACAGACAAAGGCAAAGAGGACATACAAAGAGGCAGCACATCCAGAGACAGACAGAACATATAGTCAGTACATACAAACACATGGGGCTAGGGTTGGCACCTTTCTTGGAAAAAATACTGGCCATACTAATTTGCATGATTAATTATGTATGCATGCCATCACAGGACATAAATAACAAGGGATGACATAAGAACATTTTCTGTAAAATCACAAAAAAACCTACTTACAGTTTGATTCTGATGTATAAAGGGGTTGCTCTGCAGTTTAGAGAGAAGCCTCTGATTGGAGCATTCCCCAGTACAAAATGAAAGTCTCCACCTGGGTAAGAGGGGGTGGCTTGCAAAGGCTACAGACAGCAGAAAAAGAATACAAGCATGTTTTTTGTTTGTGAAGCTATATCTACTAAATATCTGTGTCTCTTCATGTCTCCATGTCCAAACTCAAATCTGTCTCTCCTCCTGTTACCCTCATTTGTGTCTCTCTATGTCTCTGTGTGTCTCCATGTCCACCTCAGTGACTACCTGTTTTCCAGTGTCCCATGTCTCACAGAGTCTAATGTCTCAGTGACTCTGTGAGACATGTCTCTCAATGTCCCATTTCTCACAGAGTCCCGTGTCTCAGAGTGTCTCTCAATGTCCCATGTCTCACAGTGTCTCTCTATGTCCTCCTCCCTCCCCCCATGTCTCACAGTGTCTCTCAGTGTCCCATGTCTCACAGCGTCTCTCAATGTCCCATGTCTCACAGAGTCCCATGTCTTACAGTGTCCCACAGAGTCCCATGTCTTACAGTGTCCCATGTCTCACAGAGTCTCACAGTGTCTCAATGTACCATGTTTCACAGAGTCCCAAGTCTTACAGTGTCCCACGTCTCACAGCGTCTCAGAGTCCCATGTCTCACAGTGTCTCAGAGTCCCATGTCTCACAGTGTCTCAATATCCCATGTCTCACAGTATCTCAATGTCCCATGTCTCACAGTGTCTCAATATCCCATGTCTCACAATGTCCCATGTCTCAGTGTCCCATGTCTCACAGAGTCTCTCAGTGTCCCATGTCTCTCAGTGTCTCTCAGTGTCCCATGTCTCACAGAGTCTCTCAGTGTCCCATGTCTCACAGTCTCTCAGTGTCCCATGTCTCACAGAGTCTCACAGTGTCCCATGTCTCACAGAGTCTCTCAGTGTCCCATGTCTCTCAGTGTCTCTCAGTGTCCCATGTCTCTCAGTGTCCCATGTCTCACAGTCTCTCAGTGTCCCATGTCTCAAAGTCAGGGCCGGACTGGCCCACCGGGATACCGGGAAATTTCCCGGTGGGCCGTCGGCACCTGGGGCCGGGCAGACACCTGGGTCTGCTGGCGGCCGCTGGGGACTTGTGCTGGCTGCACTGGGGAGGTCTTCTGGCGGCCGCTGGAGGACTTGTCCCGGCAGCCGCTGGGGGGAGCTGCTCTGGCTCTGCTCCCCAGTGCGCAGCTGAATGAGACCGGCGTTGGAATATGACGTCATATTCCGGCGCCGGTCTCATTCAGCAGCGCGCGAGGGTGGGAGAGCACAGACAGTGCAGCTCCCCCAGCTGCCGCCAGGACAAGTCCTCCAGCGGCCGCCAGAAGACCTCCCCAGCGGCAGCCAGCACAAGTCCCCAGCGGCCTCCAGAAGATCTCCCCCTGGTGGCAGGTACTAGTAATGTGTCTGTCTGTGTTATGGTGCCTGTCTGTCTGTATGGTGTGTGTGTCTGTCTGTCTATGTTATGGTGTCTGTCTGTATGGTGTGTGTGTGTCTGTCTGTGTCATGGTGTCTGTCTGTATGGTGTGTGTGTCTGCCTGTCTGTATGGTGTGTGTCTGCCTGTCTGTGTCATGGTGTCTGTCTGTATGGTGTGTGTGTGTGTGTGTCTGTCTGTGTCATAGTGTGTCTGTATGGTGTGTGTCTGTCTGTTCGTCATGGGGTGTGTGTGTGTCTGTCTGTCCGTCATGGGGTGTGTGTGTGTGTGTCTGTCTGTCCGTCATGGGGTGTGTGTGTGTGTCTGTCTGTCCGTCATGGGGTGTGTGTGTCTGTCTGTCCGTCATGGGGTGTGTGTGTGTCTGTCTGTCGTCCATGGGGGTGTGTGTGTGTCTGTCCGTCATGGGGTGTGTGTGTGTGTGTGTGTGTGTCTGTCCGTCATGGGGTGTGTGTGTGTGTGTATCTGTCCGCCATGGGGGTGTGTGTGTGTGTGTGTGTCTGTCCGTCGTGTGTGTGTCTGTCTGTCCGGCCATGGGGGGTGTGTGTGTGTGTTTGTCTGTCCGTCATGGGGGTGTGTGTGTGTCTGTCTGTCCGTCATGGGGTGTGTGTGTCTGTCTGT